AGTGACGACAAGGTGAAACAAAATAATTTCTGCATGGAACTAGTTATTGATATAACCAACTAGCCGTTGCTTAACAACAACAACAACAAAAGCTATTAAGAAACAACAGGAAATAAAATAATGTCAGACAAATACTTCTTAAGGCCAGTGAATCCTCTGTGGGTAAATATAAAATTATTTGCATTTTCTATAAAACTATGACAGAAACTAACATTTTACAATAAAATACATTACAGAGCCTTTGCAGTATGTTAGTGTGGTATTTTTTTATGCCTCGGATTAAATCCTGAGAGATCTCAAGGCGAGTGCTCTACCAGCTAAGCTTAATGGATAGCTCTTAATGCTTGCTAGTAAAGCTCTTTTTTTTAACAACTCAAACTACTACATTAGTGTTACAAAGCATTAACCTAGATAAGTTTCCACCGACGTTCCCCACAAATGTTATATAAGTATGTCACTGTGTTGAACACGTTTACATTTGTCTTGTCTTACCACATGTGAAAAGAATAATGTAACGGATGGTATTAATACCACTGAAATTATAAATGGGAATTTATTTTATCACATTTCGTCAAACTGAATAATAAGAAAGTATTTATTAGCTTAAAAAAAACATATTTAGTGGATATAGAACAAGAGTGAATGCAGTGTTGTCGTTTTGTGGGGAAAAAATACCGTTTGGAGAATAACACTGAATATAGTTGTACACAAAGTGTGTTATTTCATAGGATACTCATGCATATTTTTTTTTACTTGTAAACTAAACATACCAGCTGCTTTCTGATCCTACAACCTGAAAAATTGACACCGAATGTGAAGTAAAAAATCGATACAGTTCAACCATTTTGGATATACTACACCTTTGATCAACATGTTGACCACTTCTTATCATATTGACGTTTGTGTAGACTTCTCCATCATGCTACAATCTGTCTGATTGTGTACCAGCACAACTCTTCTGTCGTGATTCAACATGAAAAAGATGGTCACCATTTCTGAATTTTCTCATTGAAATATTTAATAATTTCTATACTATTTCCTAAAGGTGAAAGACCGTTTCAGACGCTGTCATACCTGTGTAAGATATGCTCGTTCCTTTATTATTCTCTGATTTTATCTATGGTCCAGCACGGAGGACAGGGTTTATGAAATCCCGTGAATTAGTGGAACGCATCGCATTCTGGTTGAAATTAGAACACCCGGCAGCATTTGCAATTAAGAAAACGCTTCTCTATTCTAAGCCCTACAAAGTGTTAGTGGATTAGCTATAGTTTTGGCTACAGGATGCCTCCATCTCAAAAATGTATTTTATTTTGTCTTTAAACGTCATTGGTTACACTGCTTCTGGTAGAGGTCAAAGTTTCTCTATGATCCTGCAAAAGCGAGATTTGTGGGCAGGCTGTGGAATGTCATGCTTGACCTGCCATGTCATCTCCTAACTAAATACTGAGGGCAAGTGTAATGAATCTATTAAATATAATGAGAGAAACACGTGGTTTACACTTCCAGTTGGTAAGATGGTATATAGTAATGAAGTTGACTGTGAATTACCCAAACTACTGAAAACTTCACAAGAAGGGGAAGTACTTGCGAGTTCAAACTTGTGGCAATATTAACAGAAACGTGATCACGGTGCAAGAGAGTAGCAAAGACTGGCACTTTATCAGGTCGTGGGCTGTCTATAAGTTGGTTTTACCAGAGATACAAATTACTTGGCTAGACACACACGTATAAAATTCCCACTTAAGGAATAGCATTTCTCGTTGATAACGTATTTAAGTTCCCGCATAAACACATTAAACTCGATGTTGTTATACAGGTATGAAATTATATTGTGACACAAAACAGAAACAGGAAAATGGGCATGTTGATGAGCAAAAACGCTATTGTTAATTAATTACTTAATAACTAGTAAGATAGCTAAAGAATTTAGTTTATAAACGCATATGTAAACAAACATACGTGTTGATCTCCCCAACATGCTGTTTCTAGACTTACATTTATCTAAGCATAATGCCTTAAAATTGTTCCTTACGAGTTTGAGTATCAAAACTGGTGAATCGCGCGCCGGTTGTGTTTCCATCAACAAGAAATGGGCGAGTTGCAGAATATTCCCTCTAATAAAGCAAGTTTTGGCAACATCAAGTTTCATTAGATAGATGCTTTGTAACTTTGGTTAGGTCAGTAGCTCTATAAATCACCACCAAATGGTGTTATAAAGTTTATGATTGGTTTGTGAAAAAAAGATTAGTTTGTATTATATAGTTGATTGATGCTAATTTAAACACTTCCATTGTATCTGTCATTTGAAGTGATAGATGGATTAACGACAGCCTGAATACAGGTGATTGAACTTTCCGTAGAATGGCTATATACTGCAAACCTCTTAACACAAAATACCCGTAAATTAAACAGTTATTATTATTAGATTTACAAATACAAACATTTCTCGTCACATCGCATAGAAAAATATTGAACTACATATTAAAGCCGAATACTTTATAAACTGTGAAAACATTTAAACTATGACCTCATTCAAATTATTTACGAAATGTACAAAAATTGTGGAGTTGAAAAATGACGGGGTTTCATAACAAAGTAAGCTATACAGAAAATATTAAAACAGTTAACGTTTTACTCTTTTGACGCTGTTGTTTTTTTTGTTTTTGAAATAACAATAACACAACGATATAAACGTGGTTTCAGACTCGTCCCATAGGGTACATTACTAATTTGTTTATTATTTACGAGCTTTCAGCTCCGTTAATGTTATATCATATGTTTCAAATTTTCTACTGTTCTTAAAATAACTAGTTGTAAAAATACGTTACACGTAGCTTTGATTTTTGGTTGCTATAGTATTGTTGCTAGGCGATAATTCTCGAAATATTCTACTGTACAGCGATGTCTGTACCTATCGGAACGTAACATTTCACTCGACAAAAGTTGCAGAGCTGAATGCTTGTATATAATTAACAAATTAGTATTTACGTTGGAAAATATCTTAGAGATGTATTTAATGTTACGACAGAAATATGTTCTTGAAGTTAAACATATTATTTAAACTTTGTTAACTGTTAATGTCCGCACATGTTCATGTGGTTTGTTGGAAGCAGTGGATGTACTTAATAGGACAAAATATTATCTAGTTCACAGCGTTATTACAATGTTGTATTTTCTGTTTTATAGAAGCTATTAAGGCCATCTGCCGCCGTCCGTAATTTAGAACTACCGGCTAGAGGGAAGGCAACCAGTCATCAGCACTCTAGCATTTACGCTACGTTATTGACTGTCATTCCTATAATGCACCCACAGCTTAAAATGTAGGAAATGTTGGGTGGTGTCGCACGGATTCAAACTCGACTTACCAGCTCCAAAATCCGGAGATCTACCAACCTATCCTATTACACTGTTAACAGGTGTCGCTTATTAGGACAAAAGCGATATTCGTTCACGCCTTTGTTACAATATTAACAGGATGTCATTTAATAGGGCAGAAAAAGATTACTACACCGTTCCTACAATGTTAACACGGTGTAGTTTAGTAAGACCAAATAAATGATTATTTTGTTCACGGCTTTATTACAATATTAACACGGGCGCCAATTAGGACAAGATAAACACTTGTAATTCACAGATTGATTTTAGATTTTATCACTGCATCATTTAGTTGTACAAAACCATTATCCACTTCACTAAACATCTTTGAAATAAACTGTATTTCGAGCTTCTTCCAATGTGGGTTAAGTATTTTATCCGATCTAAACTAGAGAAATGGGAAGCATTGTTAACCTAAGACTAAAATAACTTATAAACGTAGCAAGACTGAGAAACCAGCCAGAACCGAACATTCCATACTGCTAGGAGTATCCAGCCATTGCTGGAAAGTCAACAGAACCTAGAGAAACCAGTTAGCCGAACACAACACAAGACACAAAACTGAATGAGAGAAATATAATATATTGGATAAGTGACCAACATTCAAAACTTAGAAAAATATATAAGTTATTAAAATAAGGCCACATGAGCCGAATAGCAATGACATTAGACAACCAATAATATTGTACAATTATATTTTACAAAAAAGGGGGCTTAACTGATCATTTTGACGGCCAATTAAATGTCAACGGTATTACTTTTTACCCTCATAATCTTGCTGCTAGTGTTGTATATCGGAAACTTTCCTGCTCGGCTTTCTCAGCCCTAACAAAGAACTCGACATGGATCTTGAAATTTTATCTGAAAGGCAAATCGGGTGACAAGTCCATAAAAAAACAGTCCATGTGTATTTTGTGTTGTCTCGTAAGGTGTTTAGAAGAATGCATATATATTGTATTTATGAAAAAACTGAAATATAGAATTGTTGAAGTCCATTTCCATACTATATAAATACCATAAAAAAACAATTTAGCACTACAGCTTATTAACTGTATGTAAGAGTGACGGGCTGTTTGTAGTTATTTCACGATACAATATATATGCTGTGTATGTTTAACAGTGACGGTTTTTTATGGTTATTTCACAATACAATATATGTTGTGTATGTTTAACAGTGACGATGGTTTGTATATGGTTATTTCACGATACTATATATGCTGTGTACGTTTAACAGTGACGGTTTGTTTATGGTTATTCCATGATACTATATGTGCTGTGTACGTTTAACAATGGCGGTTTGTTTATGGTTATTTCATGATACTATATGTGCTGTGTATGTTTAATAGTGGCGGTTTGTTTATGGTTATTCCATGATACTATATGTGCTGTGTACGTTTAACAGTGGCGGTTTGTTTATGGTTATTCCATGATACTATATGTGCTATGTACGTTTAACAGTGATGATGGTTTGTATATGGTTATTCCATGATACTATATGTGCTGTGTACGTTTAACAGTGATGATGGTTTGTATATGGTTATTTCACGATACTATATGTGCTGTGTATGTATTACGTGCACTGAATCATTCTGGTCTAAGGGAGTTTATTTTTATTATTACAGAAAGAGCTTAACATGCCCAGAAGAGGAAGGTAAGTGAATGTTACTTGAATATTTATGTTCTATCAGTATTCAGACGTGAACCTAATGTCTTTTCTTTTCTATATGTGCTCTGTTTTAAATACATTTTATGACATTCGTTACTTTTGTTTAGATTTAATTTTATTTGACATGAAATGTTGATTTTTTCCAAAGTTGATTAAATTGAGAAATCAGTTTCAAAAGGTTTCCTTTCCATATTTTCATTCCTTAAAGAACACATGGTTATTTAATCAAAGAAAGTCGATAAAATGTACTTTTCCATGTTGTATTTTGTAACAAATTGTTATGCAAGTAGTGTTAGAGTGAACCTATAACACTTGAACAGTAGTGAATATTCGGCACAAGGCACGACACTTCCAATCCAATTAGACACTAATGAGTTTCTATTCTATAAGGAATGTTACCTGGGGGTAGTGTTTAATTAGAAAGTTTCGTTACTTATTTTTCTGTTTGTTATAAATCAAGTTTGATTGAATTTTTTTTTTTTGCAGCCGGTGTGCGACAAGAAAACCCATTATAAGTAGCACGTCGCCAACATTACCCCGTTGTCACTCGCCAGTTTCTCACTGTAAGTACCACATACCAGGTTTAACTGGTGCTTACCACGCCCCTCAACAATTTCACTGCATTCTGATAATTTTACTTTACTGAATAATAATTCGCAAAAGCAAAATAATTTTGGATTTTATATTTTATTGTGTTTCATTCAAATATTGTGAATTAGGTAGTTTTAAATTTAGAAATTATGAAATATTCTAGAGTACAAAGAAATGAACTTGAAGAACTAAAGATATGAATTTTTATGAAGTTAACAAAACTGTTGTTCAAAGAAAATAATATCTAGAACTTGTACCACCAGCGGTAAGTTTTTAGGACTTACAACGCTAAGATCCGGGATTTGATTCCACGCCCGTAAACACAACAGATAACTCACTGTGGCTTTGCTCTAAAACAAATAAACCATCATAATATTCTATCCATAACTTAAATAATACAACATCGTTTTGTGTAGTATACGACTGTGCCGTGATGTTTATTTTTGATTTTTTGTTTTTACTTATGGTCATGGCATAATTTTATGATTTTGTATCCTACATATAAATTCAGCGAAGTAGTAAGTAAGACAAGTGTATTGTGCTTGAAATGACGGAATAACTTTTCTAAGACGTAGAATCTGTTATTGCGTGTAAGCCACAGCAAAATTGAATAACGTTGTACAACGAAAGCTGTAAACATTCAGACGCCCCTGGAGGGTATGCTAACGAATTTGAGATACCCACTTGACTTTACGTTCGCTTACATCATATATTAATTAAAAGATAAGCTAGTTTTTTTTTTCACTAATTTGTAAATGTGTTTCTCAGTGGATCAGCGGTTAATAGTAAAAACCGGGGATCCATTTCCCACAGTGGACAGAGCGCATATAGCCCATTGTGTAGCTTTGCGACTAAAAAAAAAAAGGAAAAAAAAAGCTAATAGTAACAACAATCTTTGTAAATGAGTTCTCAGAATGTATTCTGTTTGCAACTACTGGTAAACGTGTTATGGGTATCGACGACGTTTCAGTTTACTGTGATAGAACGCTACGAATGAAAAAGTTGAAAGGTTAGTGTTCATTATAATGTATTAATACATTAGTGTAGCAAAAACTGAAATATATTTCAACAGAGTAAAATGTTCCTGAGATTGGATAATTCATGTCTCCGTGTAGTACGAAAAATGTATATCAACGTTTTTTTTTGTAATGCACTTTATTTGGGGGGTAATAAAAAATAAATGCTTTTATAAAAGATAAAAAACTTTGAACTTTTTAAGCGACCAGCTCTTAACGGTTCTTGCTAATTAAAGAGAAGTAAAATATATAAAAAAATCTATTTAAACAGAAAATATTAATTATTAATTGATCTTTTTATCTCCGATTTGTCTTTGTATAAAGAGATACAACCAACGAAACGCCCATACATTTTTCGGTCACTTGTTATTTATTATGTGAAAATTCAATATTTTTTCTCTGAATTATTGCATGGGAAGGTCTTTGCTTTAGATAATATTTATACTTCGTCATTATCTTCCTGATTTATTTCAGCTTTCTACCCCCCCCTCCCTCTCTGAACAACAATGTTACTTACGACATATGTTTGTCAGGAGAAAATAAGTTGTGATAGAAGATTCGGTGCAGACTTTTAAATGAAGTTCTCAATAGTAAACAAATTTGATTTATCGTCGGTAATCTTTAAAAACCTCATCAAACGGGAGCAATAGGAAAATAGACGCTGTGAGATTCTGTGATAGCAGTGCACGCCCTTTGAAGCACTGCAAGGGCAAACTCGCATGATTCCCGTCTTTAAAAACTAACGGCATGGGGATTTTTGTTGAAAACGGAATATGTTAACTCAGAGATTCTGTGATAGCAGTGCACGCCCTTTGAAACATTGCAAGGGCAAACTCGCATGATTCCCGTCTTTAAAAACTAACGGCATGGGGATTTTTGTTGAAAACGGAATATGTTAACTCAGTAGACAGGTAATGAATATCACGTCTTAAGCAAAATTACATCGCTGTTTATTTTGCATACAGTTGTGCATTTCCAGAAGCTCTAATGAAATTGATGCATTGAATAACTTGATGTTGTTTTTTAGCACAAAATGTTTACTGTTAAAGGAACAACTTACGATACTAGTTCTTTGGTATTAAGATGTGATATCTATGGAACATAGTCTCAGTTTCCATATACGTAGAAAATAGCATCTCAGACCCGCTTTCTCGTCAGTTAGTAATAAAGTTTTAAGCTGTGATGTTGAACGAATACTGCTTTCAAATTAAAAGGTTAATTTCTAACGACAGATAATTAATCTTTTATTAAAACCCTTAATACAATATTTAAACAATACGGTCGTGATCGTTACAGGTGATCGTTATATACCGTGATATTCAGGGACGTAGCATCTAACGAGGTATCATTAGTATATAGTGAAAAATCTGCCTAACACTCAAGAAATTATAATCTTGATGGGTGATGAATTATTAAGTAATTACCAATGTTTTAATTTGTACCACATTATTCTTCGCATGTTTGTAATAAGTTAAGTTTCTGGTATTTAATTTACTACTTGGCATGTATTGTTTCAGTAGGGTTAAGAACTTAAATTCTGGGGTGCTGATAATTTGACCTTCCCTGAACCACTTCTAGCATCATAAGCACACAGAAAACGAGCTAATCGTTTAGGTTTTGGAAAACAACGGGCATTGAAAAATTCAAAATCACTAAACTTTAAGGGCCCGGCATGGCCAGGTGGTTAGGTCACTC